GGTAGTGGTGATTCTATGGGCAGTGCTGAGTCTATGGGTAGTGTTGAGTCTATGGGTAGTGTTGAGTCTATGGGCAGCGTTGAGTCTATGGGGCAGTGTTGAGTCTATGGGTAGTGTTGAGTCTATGGGCAGTGTTGAGTCTATGGGCAGTGCTGGGTCTATGGGCAGTGTTGAGTCTATGGGCAATGCTGAGTCTATGGGCAGTGTTGAGTCTATGGGTAGTGTTGAGTCTATGGGCAATGCTGAGTCTATGGGCAGTTTTGAGTCTATGGGCAGTGTTGTGTCTATGGATAGTGTTGAGTCTATGGGCAGTGTTGAGTTTATGGGCAGTGTTGAGTCTATGGGTAGTGTTGAGTCTATGGGCAGTGCTGAGTCTATGGGCAGTGCTGAGTCTATGGGCAGTGTTGAGTTTATGGGCAGTGTTGAGTCTATGGGCAGTGTTGAGTCTATGGGCAGTGTTGAGTCTATGGTGCAGTGTTGAGTCTATGGTGCAGTGTTGAGTCTATGGGCAGTGCTGAGTCTATGGGCAGTGCTGAGTCTATGGTGCAGTGTTGAATCTATGGGTAGTGTTGAGTCTATGGGCAATGCTGAGTCTATGGGCAGTTTTGAGTCTATGGGCAGTGTTGTGTCTATGGATAGTGTTGAGTCTATGGGCAGTGTTGAGTTTATGGGCAGTGTTGAGTCTATGGGTAGTGTTGAGTCTATGGGCAGTGCTGAGTCTATGGGCAGTGTTGAGTTTATGGGCAGTGTTGAGTCTATGGGCAGTGTTGAGTCTATGGGCAGTGTTGAGTCTATGGTGCAGTGTTGAGTCTATGGTGCAGTGTTGAGTCTATGGGCAGTGCTGAGTCTATGGGCAGTGCTGAGTCTATGGTGCAGTGTTGAGTCTATGGTGCAGTGTTGAATCTATGGGCAGTGTTGAGTCTATGGGCAGTGTTGAGTCTATGGTGCAGTGTTGAGTCTATGGTGCAGTGTTGAGTCTATGGGGAGTGCTGAGTCTATGGGCAGTGCTGAGTCTATGGTGCAGTGTTGAGTCTATGGTGCAGTGTTGAGTCTATGGTGCAGTGTTGAATCTATGGGCAGTGTTGAGTCTATGGTGCAGTGTTGAGTCTATGGTGCAGTGTTGAGTCTATGGTGCAGTGTTGAGTCTATGGTGCAGTGTTGAGCCTATGGGCAGTGTTGAGTCTATGGGCAGTGTTGAGTCTATGGGGCAGTGTTGAGTCTATGGGCAGTGTTGAGTCTATGGGCAGTGTTGATTCTATGGGCAGTGTTGAGTCTATGGTGCAGTGTTGAGTCTATGGTGCAGTGTTGAATCTATGGGCAGTGTTGAATCTATGGACAGTGTTGAGTCTATGGTGCAGTGTTGAGTCTATGGACAGTGTTGAGTCTATGGGCAGTGGTGAGTTTATGGTGCAGTGTTGAGTCTATGGTGCAGTGTTGAGTCTATGGGCAGTGTTGAGTCTATGGTGCAGTGTTGAGTCTATGGGCAGTGCTGAGTCTATGGGTAGTGGTGATTCTATGGGCAGTGCTGAGTCTATGGGTAGTGTTGAGTCTATGGGTAGTGTTGAGTCTATGGGCAGCGTTGAGTCTATGGGGCAGTGTTGAGTCTATGGGTAGTGTTGAGTCTATGGGTAGTGTTGAGTCTATGGGCAGTGCTGGGTCTATGGGTAGTGTTGAGTCTATGGACAGTGTTGAGTCTATGGGTAGTGTTGAGTCTATGGGCAGTGCTGAGTCTATGGGTAGTGTTGAGTCTATGGGCAGTGTTGAGTCTACGGGTAGTGTTGAGTCTATGGTGCAGTGTTGAGTCTATGGGCAGTGTTGAGTGTATGGGCAGTGCTGAGTCTGTGGGCAGTGCTGAGTCTATGGGCAGTGTTGAGTCTATGGGTAGTGTTGAGTCTATGGGTAGTGTTGAGTGTATGGGCAGTGCTGAGTCTATGGGCAGTGTTGAGTGTATGGGCAGTGCTGAGTCTATGGGCAGTGTTGAGTCTATGGGCAGTGCTGAGTGTATGGGCAGTGCTGAGTCTATGGTGCAGTGTTGAGTCTATGGGCAGTGTTGAGTCTATGGGCAGTGTTGAGTCTATGGGCAGTGCTGAGTCTATGGGCAGTGTTGAGTCTATGGGCAGTGCTGAGTGTATGGGCAGTGCTGAGTCTATGGTGCAGTGTTGAGTCTATGGGCAGTGTTGAGTCTATGGGCAGTGTTGAGTCTATGGGCAGTGTTGAGTCTATGGTGCAGTGTTGAGTCTATGGTGCAGTGTTGAGTCTATGGGCAGTGCTGAGTCTATGGGCAGTGCTGAGTCTATGGTGCAGTGTTGAGTCTATGGTGCAGTGTTGAATCTATGGGCAGTGTTGAGTCTATGGGCAGTGTTGAGTCTATGGTGCAGTGTTGAGTCTATGGTGCAGTGTTGAGTCTATGGGGAGTGCTGAGTCTATGGGCAGTGCTGAGTCTATGGTGCAGTGTTGAGTCTATGGTGCAGTGTTGCATCTATGGGCAGTGTTGAGTCTATGGTGCAGTGTTGAGTCTATGGTGCAGTGTTGAGTCTATGGTGCAGTGTTGAGTCTATGGTGCAGTGTTGAGCCTATGGGCAGTGTTGAGTCTATGGGCAGTGTTGAGTCTATGGGGCAGTGTTGAGTCTATGGGCAGTGTTGAGTCTATGGGCAGTGTTGATTCTATGGGCAGTGTTGAGTCTATGGTGCAGTGTTGAGTCTATGGTGCAGTGTTGAATCTATGGACAGTGTTGAGTCTATGGTGCAGTGTTGAGTCTATGGACAGTGTTGAGTCTATGGGCAGTGGTGAGTTTATGGTGCAGTGTTGAGTCTATGGTGCAGTGTTGAGTCTATGGGCAGTGTTGAGTCTATGGTGCAGTGTTGAGTCTATGGGCAGTGCTGAGTCTATGGGTAGTGGTGATTCTATGGGCAGTGCTGAGTCTATGGGTAGTGTTGAGTCTATGGGTAGTGTTGAGTCTATGGGCAGCGTTGAGTCTATGGGGCAGTGTTGAGTCTATGGGTAGTGTTGAGTCTATGGGTAGTGTTGAGTCTATGGGCAGTGCTGGGTCTATGGGTAGTGTTGAGTCTATGGACAGTGTTGAGTCTATGGGTAGTGTTGAGTCTATGGGCAGTGCTGAGTCTATGGGTAGTGTTGAGTCTATGGGCAGTGTTGAGTCTACGGGTAGTGTTGAGTCTATGGTGCAGTGTTGAGTCTATGGGCAGTGTTGAGTGTATGGGCAGTGCTGAGTCTATGGGCAGTGCTGAGTCTATGGGCAGTGTTGAGTCTATGGGTAGTGTTGAGTCTATGGGTAGTGTTGAGTGTATGGGCAGTGCTGAGTCTATGGGCAGTGTTGAGTGTATGGGCAGTGCTGAGTCTATGGGCAGTGTTGAGTCTATGGGCAGTGCTGAGTGTATGGGCAGTGCTGAGTCTATGGTGCAGTGTTGAGTCTATGGGCAGTGTTGAGTCTATGGGCAGTGTTGAGTCTATGGGCAGTGCTGAGTCTATGGGCAGTGTTGAGTCTATGGGCAGTGCTGAGTGTATGGGCAGTGCTGAGTCTATGGTGCAGTGTTGAGTCTATGGGCAGTGTTGAGTCTATGGGTAGTGTTGAGTCTATGGGCAGTGCTGAGTCTATGGGTAGTGTTGAGTCTATGGGCAGTGCTGAGTCTATGGGTAGTGTTGAGTCTATGGGTAGTGTTGAGTCTATGGGCAGTGTTGAGTCTATGGGTAGTGTTGAGTCTATGGGTAGTGTTGAGTCTATGGGCAGTGCTGAGTCTATGGGTAGTGTTGAGTCTATGTGCAGTGATGAGTCTATGGGTAGTGTTGAGTCTATGGGCAGTGCTGAGTCTATGGATAGTGTTGAGTCTATGGGCAGTGTTGAGTCTATGGGTAGTGTTGAGTCTATGGGTAGTGTTGAGTCTATGGGCAGTGCTGAGTCTATGGATAGTGTTGAGTCTATGGGCAGTGTTGAGTCTATGGGCAGTGCTGAGTCTATGGGTAGTGTTGAGTCTATGGGTAGTGTTGAGTCTATGGGCAGTGTTGAGGCTATGGGTAGTGTTGAGTCTATGGGTAGTGTTGAGTCTATGGGTAGTGCTGAGTCTATGGGAAGTGTTGAGTCTATGGGTAGTGTTGAGTCTATGGGTAGTGTTGAGTCTATGGGTAGTGTTGAGTCTATGGGCAGTGTTGAGTCTATGGGCAGTGCTGAGTCTATGGGCAGTGTTGAGTCTATGGGTAGTGTTGAGTCTATGGGTAGTGTTGAGTCTATGGGTAGTGTTGAGTCTATGGGTAGTGTTGAGTCTATGGGTAGTGTTGAGTCTATGGGCAGTGCTGAGTCTATGGGTAGTGTTGAGTCTATGGGTAGTGTTGAGTCTATGGGTAGTGTTGAGTCTATGGGCAGTGCTGAGTCTATGGGTAGTGTTGAGTCTATGGGTAGTGTTGAGTCTATGGGTAGTGCTGAGTCTATGGGAAGTGTTGAGTCTATGGGTAGTGTTGAGTCTATGGGTAGTGTTGGGTCTATGGGCAGTGTTGAGTCTATGGTGCAGTGTTGAGTCTATGGGCAGTGTTGAGTCTATGGGCAGTGCTGAGTCTATGGTGCAGTGTTGAGTTTATGGGCAGTGTTGAGTCTATGGGTAGGGTTGAGTCTATGGGTAGTGTTGAGTCTATGGGTAGTGTTGAGTCTACGGGCAGTGCTGAGTCTATGGGTAGTGTTGAGTCTATGGGCCAGTGTTGAGTCTATGGGTAGTGTTGAGTCTATGGTGCAGTGTTGAGTCTATGGGCACTGCTGAGTCTATGGTGCAGTGTTGAGTTTATGGGCAGTGTTGAGTCTATGGGTAGGGTTGAGTCTATGGGTAGTGTTGAGTCTATGGGTAGTGTTGAGTCTACGGGCAGTGCTGAGTCTATGGGTAGTGTTGAGTCTATGGGCCAGTGTTGAGTCTATGGGTAGTGCTGAGTCTATGGTGCAGTGTTGAGTCCTCCGTGTCCACACGTCTCCACGTCTCTGTGTCCCTCGTGTGTCCCCCAGGTACTACCGCATGGCCACGCTGGTGCACTACGGCTTCGGCATGAAGACCTCGGACGTCCTCTACTCCTGCCTGCCCCTCTACCACACGGCCGGTGAGCAACCCCCCTCTCCCGTTCACCCTGCCCGCTCACCCACCTGCTCACCCACCTGCTCACCCACCTGCTCACCCACCTGCTCACCTACCTGCTCGCTCACCCGCTCGCTCACTCACCCGCTCACCCACCTGCTCACTCACCAGCTCGCTCACCCACCAGCTCACCCACCTGCTCACCCGCTCACTCACCCACCTGCTCACCCACCTGCTCACTCACCAGCTCACCCACCTGCTCACCCACCTACCCACCCGCTCGCTCGCTCACCCGCTCACCCGCTCGCTTGTTCACCCACTCATTCGCTCACCCACCTGCTCAACCGCCCGCTCATTCACTCACCCATCCGCTCACCAGCTCACTCACCCACACTCTCACCCACCCACCCACCCATCCACCCACCAATTCAGGGAGACAAAGGCGGCTGGGGTGCTGCTGCTGCTGCTGCTGCTGCCCATCGCCGCCTTTGCTCGCTCTAACAGCACTTGCCCCGGCAGCCTGCTAGAGGCTACACGGTGCGGAACTTTGTCTTTGTCTGTGTGGGTGGGTGTCGCAGCGTCGGGGTTTGCGTTGCGCTACGAACCTGACGGGCCCGAGGCCTCCTCCCCTAGGTAGACTCAGCCTCAAATGAGTAGCCTGATGTAGCGGTGTAGCGGTGGTGTGGTGGTGTAGTGGTGTAGTGGTGTGGTGGTGTAGTGGTGGCGTAGTGGTGTAGTGGTGTAGTGGTGGTGTGGTGGTGTAGTGGTGTAGTGGTGGTGGTGTAGTGGTGGTGTGGTGGTGTAGTGGTGTAGTGGTGGTGGTGTAGTGGGGTAGTGGTGTAGCGGTGTGGTGGTGTGGTGTAGTGGTGTGGTGTAGTGGTGTGGTGTAGCGGTGTGGTGGTGTAGCGGTGTGGCGGTGTAGCGGTGTAGCGGTGTGGTGGTGTAGTGGTGTCGTGGTGTCTTGGTGTAGTGGTGTGGTGATGTAGTGGTGTGGTGTAGTGGTGTAGTGGTGGTGGTGTAGTGGTGGTGGTGTAGTGGTGGTGGTGTGGTGGTGGTGGTGTAGCAGTGTAGCGGTGTGGTGGTGGTGTAGCGGTGTGGTGGTGGTGGTGGTGGTGTAGCGGTGGTGGTGGTGGTGAACATCGCCACTGGCGTGGGTTCAGGCCTCACCACCCCCTCGTGTGAGTGGTTCAGGCCACACCACCCCCTCGTGTGAGTGGTTTCAGGCCACACCACCCCCTCGTGTGAGTGGTTCAGGCCTTTGACGCCGGTCAAAGGTCGACCCGGCCTCGAATGAGCACCCGGCGCTCGGTGTGCGGGGGCTGGGGAAGACAAAGGCGGCTGGGAGGACGTGGCGCTCCTCCGCCCAACCGGCCTCGTCTGTCACGTCGGCCTTCACGAGGCGCTCGCCAACAGCACTTGCCCCGGCACTCTGCTGAGGCTACACGGGGCAGCTTTGTCTGTGTGCGAGTGAACGTGTCCAACCTTCATAGGTGCTGCTGCTACTCGCTAAAAGCACTTGCCCCAGCACTCTGCTGAGGCTACACGGGGGACCTTTGTCTGTGTGAGTGAACGTGTTCAACCTTCATAGGTGCTGCTGCTGCTACTCGCCAACAGCAACTTGCCCCGGCATTCTGCTGAGGCTACACGGGGCACCTTTGTCTGTGCGAGTGAACGTGTTCAACCTTCATAGGTGCTGCTGCTGCTACTACTCGCCAACAGCAACTTGCCCCTGGCACTCTGCTGAGGCTACGCGGGGCAGCTTTGTCTGTGTGAGTGAACGTGTCCAACCTTCATAGGTGGTGCTGCTGCTGCTACTCGCAAAGAGCACTTGCCCCGGCACTCTGCTGAGGCTACACGGGGGACCTTTGTCTGTGTGTGAGTGAACGTGTTCAACCTTCATAGGTGGTGCTGCTGCTGCTACTCACCAAGAGCACTTGCCCCGGCACTCTGCTGAAGCTACACGGGGGACCTTTGTCTGTGTGCGAGTGAACGTGTTCAACCTTCATAGGTGGTGCTGCTGCTGCTACTTGCCAAGAGCACTTGCCCCGACACTCTGCTGAGGCTACGCGGGGCACCTTTGTCTGTGTGAGTGAACGTGTTCAACCTTCATAGGTGCTGCTGCTGCTGCTGCTGCTACTCGCCAAGAGCAACTTGCCCCGGCACTCTGCTGAGGCTACACGGGGCACCTTTGTCTTTGCAGGCAACATTGTGGGCGTGGGGCAGTGCTTGATGCACGGCCTCACCGTCGTCATCCGCAAGAAGTTCTCCGCCTCGCGATTCTGGGACGACTGTGTCAAGTTCAACTGCACGGTGAGCACCACCACCACCACCATCACCACCACCACAACCATCAGCTCCACCACTAGCACCACCACCACCACTACCACCAGCACCACCACCACCACCAGCTCCACCACAACCACTACCACCAGC